GTTTAGTTTTAAAAAGGACGAATACAAGAAGAAAATATTACTGTGTGAGGATAATTCGGAGGTAGTGATCTAAATTAATGAGTTAATTGGAGCTTGTTAGAATTTTATGGGTTGGAAAGTGTACCTTAAAGTATGTATATTAAGAAGAAGTTTTTTTAAAAAAAGATGTATTTAGAGTGTCTTGATTTTAGAAAAGCTTTTAAAGAAAAGTTTAGTGTTTTAAAATTGGATGGAAATTTTTTTCCCTTTTAAGGTTAAAGAATCTGAAAGAATACAGTGAACTTTGTTAATATAAATGGTGATGGTTTGTAAAGATTATTAAGTACAAATAGAAATACATATTATTTCCACAGCAAGGAGGATAAAGTAGAAATGGTTAAATTGATTGTTTTATTCAGAGAAGAATATAATTATGTTTTTATTTGGAAATCACTTCTGGATTTTGTGCTTGTAATGAGAAAAAAATGAAATGCTGACTTTGGTCTTGCCAATTAGATTTATTGTTGTAGGGATGGTTTGTTATGTACTAATGTATAAAAGTAAAAAAAGTTGAGGCTGTAATGTTGTTATTTTATACTGTGCGAAAACAAGTAGGAAGTCAATGCTTCCCTCCACTTTCTTCCCTTCTTGCACCTCATAGTTTTCTTCCTCCTCTCTTTTTCCTTCCTATAATTACCTTTTTCCTGAGTCAGTTGCCCAGGGCGTCAGTTCTTGAATGATCATTGACACACTGGGAAAGATTATAGAAGGCTTTTGTCTTGAACCAAATATAATGGTCTTATGCTATCTTAAAAGCTTTCTGGTTTGTTAGTCATGGGGGTTTCATGGATGAGAGCCCACTTCCCCAGATCATCTAGAAAGTTTAAATGAGCAAGAACACGGTAGCACACATAGGTCCTGAAGTTCTTTCTTGTTACATTATGGCTGTGTGAGGTTTTTTTCTGGAGGCAATTCAAGATGCTGATTGCCACTTTTAATAGCGATAGCATTTAGCAATAGAACTTAGACTTATATACTGCTTTATAGTGCTTTACAGCCCTCTCTAAATGGTTTACAGAGTCAGCATATTGCCCCCAACAATCTGGGTCCTCATTTTACCAACCTTGGAAGGATGAAAGGCTGAGTTAACCTTGAGCCTGGTGAGATTTGAACTGCCAAATTACAGGCAGCTGGCAATCAGCAAAAGTAGCCTGCAGTACCACCGTGCCACCAAGGAGCAACTAGTACTGCACTCTAACCACTGTGCCACCTAGATGGCATAGAACCAGGTTATTTGAGGGAACTACCTCTTCCTGGATTGTACATAAATCCAGCTTGATTGTATCGAGGGGTTCATTCTAGGTTCACTCTATTAAACATTGTCTTCTGCTAAGACCTCGTAAGTGAACCTTTTCCTGCCTGAAATATGGAGGGCCTATACCTCTCTTCTTTCCATAAGGCCTTGAAGGCCTAGCTTTTCTCGAGATATATAGGTCAGATAAGCCAAGCCAAGCCTCTCCCCCCACCCCACCCCCACACACCCCTCCTCTAACATGTAAAAGAGCCATGGTGGCACTTTGGTTAGAATGCAGTACTGCAGGTTCACTACAAGAGTTCAATTCTGAGCGGCTCAAGGTTGACTTAGCCTTCCATCCTTCTGAGGTGGGTAAAATGAGGAGCCAGATTGTGGGGCAATATACTAACTATGTAAACTACTTAGAGAGGGCTGTAAAGCACCATGAAGCAGTATATAAGTCTAAGTGCTCTTGCTCCTGCTATAGAGATCTGCTATTCACAGTCAGCTGGTTAAAAGAAGGAGGTATTAATATTATTGATAAGCAAACAATAGATATTTCTAAGCTGTTCTAGTTTTATAATTAATTTCTTCAAAAGAAACCACTTGTGCAATCATCCACAGATAAAAGTAGCTATTTTTCAAATATGACTCCTACCTTTCTTCTTTCGCATTTTCAGCTTCTAAATATACAAATTACACATTTTACAATCTTTTCCTAGACAAAACCTTTTTACAGCAGTGGTTGAGAGGAAAGAATTTGTCCAGTGTTGTTAAATGTTTAGTTAGTCAGTAATGGAGTCATATGCAACAACAGAGCAGTGATCTTTGCTCAGCCTTGGCTTCTCTTTTAATGTATCATGTTCATGATTAAGCTCTTGATGTTTCTAATTAAAGTAGTAGCCTCTTGGAGGTATTACATATGTATGTCCTTCTGTTTAACGCTTGTCCACACATGGTTTTTCTAGTTCTTAAGTAGGATTATAATCATAACTAATGCAACGATTAACCATTCTGAATGGGAGTGTTCTGTTCAATGAGAAAAGATCCTGAAGTTCAGGAGTACTTTTCCACTAATTAGAATTCAGAACTCTAATCATTCATGATTTTAAGTAAAGAAAACTAAAGAACTAAAACTTGAAGAAGAGAGAGGGGAACTATGACTGCTACTATAATTATAGCAATATCCAGTCCCAGGCCAAGCACACAAAGATACACTGAGAGGCTGTTGCAAAATTAACTGATAAGTTTTGTGAAGTAAAGAAGCAAACAACAAAGGAAATGTGAGCAAAATGCGCGTGCCTGTGTGCATGCTCTCAGTCTCACACACACACACACACACACACACACACACACACTGTAGAGAAACAAGTCGCCTAAAGTTCAGCACACAATAAGATTTCCAATTTGGAACAGCAGACATAACAGCGGAATTGCAAAAGTCCAAACATTGCAAAAGGGCCATCAGCTGGCAGATCTAGGATAAAAGTCATGAGGTTTCAAACCAGGAATGAAGGTGCACTGAATGGATTAGTGAAGCCAGTCATCCACAGAAAGGTTTGAGCTTGCTGTTTCTTGATAGTCAATCATTCTTTCTTAAATAAAAGAGGAGCCCTACAGAATGCTCTGCTCTGCTCTTCATTGGGTGAGTCCTGAAGATGAAGATATTCATGCCCATGGGGGTACATCAAACCCCCAATGGCATTACATGTGCCAAGTCATTATCTAGTTCACATCATTTTCATGAAGACTTCTTGACCTCCTCATCTTCAGGGACTCATGGCAGCTATGCCTGCTGCTTACCAGACAGCCCAACCTCATCTGTGTGTAACTCCTCAGGCTATGGTGTCTTCAGCAACCACTAGAGGACGTGTCTCCACATTGTCTCTTGTGAGCCTGAGCTTGCCATGGAAATAGGAAATAAAATTACACTAAGGGTAAGGGATTCAAAAGATTTAGGAAAATGATGCAAGTTGCTTCCAGGTTTAGATTTTTCATGCAAACATTATTCAATTCATGTCTGAATCAGTGGTGGTATTCTATCAGTTCGGCCCAGTTCTGCCAAACCGGTAGTGCCAATGAGCAGCAGAGACTGAATCAATTCTCTCTGACACTTTGCTGTTTGGCCCACCTGCCTGTCTGGGCTCCCATGCTAACCTTTATTCCCTGCTTTTGAAGTGCAGCTGCTTTGCGCGGTACAGCAGATTGCCGTGCATCAGCTGCTGAAGCGGCAGGGAGTGTGCAGGATTGCAGGAGGTGAGTTGGAAAGCCTCTGTGCCTATGCTAAGTGCGTGCATGCACACAAAGCCACAGCCACCAAACTGGTGGTTAAAATTTTTGAAATGCACCACTAGTCTGAATTCTGCACTATTCATAACTGTGCCCCTTAAAGTTGTTTGGTGAAAGTGATGAGAACACCCCAGTACAGAATTATAGTGAAGAACATTGACTGATAAAGAAAAGCACAGCAGTCTCCGCCTGCCTCCTTTTTTTTAATGGAGACTTTTGGATAATCATCATGATAAAACAACCTGTTTAGGCTACTACATAAGGCAGGAATTAGTACTGAGGCTTTTCAGAAGGAGAGGGGGGAGGGGGAGGGAGGGAGAGAGAGAGAGAGATTGATTGATTGATTATCATTTTGCTGAACAAACAACAAGGCAGGACTCTGACCACAACCCATGATGAATGGACCATAGGATTCCATCGCTTGGTCAGTCAATCTGTTAGACAATTTGGCTTTTAGCAGCTCATGTGATTTTTATTGTGCCAGCTGGTAATATAGCTGGATTGAAGCCCTGAGGTCTCAACCCCTGATCTTCCATTTCCAAATTCCAAGTAAACTCAATGCTTGCTAAACCTAGGAAAGGGAATCAAAATCTTTAATTGGCTCCAAGGTGGCTATACTATTTTTTTTGAAGCTGAGACAGATACTTCATCTTTCATACCATATCTGCTATATTTCTCTCAGTGAACGTGGGCATGCTTTTTCATCCGTATGAGATAATGGAAACAAACCTTGAAAACTACAGAAAACTTCCAAATTATAGGATCAGTTCAATAATGGATAAAAAGAAGTGATATGCTCCTTCTGTTGATATAGTCCAGCAAAGCTTGACAGTCATGTTTTGGAATATCTTTGCCTTATGCCTTGGGTTTTGTAAAGCTATGACAACTTTCACATTTCCATATTAATGATATAATTACATTTTCTGATTTAAGGTTCTCTTGACATTTCTTAGGAGATATTTGAAGTTGAGGCTGAGATCCATCTGAAGGCCAGAATGAGCAGCTGGTAGGCAAAGCAATGCCTGTGGTGATTGTGCTACTTCTTGAGAAGATAGGCAAATGTCTTATCCAGAACAGCTGGGAAGTAAAGCTATGGCTTAGAGAATTGGATGGTCAAGAAACTGAAGCTTTGGGACAACGGACACACATGAAAATTTACTTGGATCAGAATCAGTGTTAATGCATTTTCAAAAATCTTCCGCAGGTTGAAGTTGAACAATTAACCCAAATAAATTTCACAATGTTCTTTTTACTGAGCAAATAAATATTGCCAACAATCCTGTCTTACCTATGGCCCAAATAATTAGACAAGCTTTTTTATTCAAACAGGAAAAACAATGATTCACTGGAAACATATTTAAATTCCTGTATCTCTACAGTAGTGCAACACTTTGAGATATTTGTACAGGCATTATATTGTGCAGGAGCTATATTTGGTCGAATTGTATTGCATTTTCCATTTTAAATACTACAGAAAGTATTTACTTGAAAGAAAATGGATTGGATTCAACTTGTTTCTATATCACTCTTCTTTATTTTTCTGACTGTATTTCTTTTGAAAACGAACAGTTCCTGGAATAACAACTCCCCAAATCTTCCACCAAGACCAAGAATTTTACCCTTTCTTGGAAATCTCCTCATTATGGATATGAAAAGACCACACAGAACAATGCTAAAGGTAATGCACTGAGATGATGACTGAAAGCAACTAAACAAATAAGACAAAATTGGGTCAAGAGATTTTTGGAGATATTCTGCTTTTATGTTATTATTTAATAGTGATTGTAACTGTGCTATATTATGTGTACAATTACAAGATCTTGGCAAGATCTTAGTTATTTCATTTTGTGGACATAATCCTAACAATGGACAGATAAATTGAAAGAGGCTTTTGGTTATTTTTTTAGGAGGGGGTGGGATTAATATATTTTTGCGGGTCAATGTTAGGGAATTGCAAGAGGTGGTAGAATAAGATTGCTCCACTGTCTTACAATGGGTTAAAATTTACCTGGTTCCTACATTAGGAATACTATGATTTGGAAGCAGAGATCTCTGGAAGGGAATGGGTAAGAAACACATTAAAATATATTTATGGCCATTAAGAAATGAATAAATGCAGCAACCAGTAGTCAACATTCTTCATTTGTTTCTACATTGGTTATTAGCAAAAGACTTTTCTGTGGCAATTTGACTGGATGGTGGTTTCATCATGTCTGTTAAAACTTCAGCAAACTCAGGAAGGTGCAAGGTATTGAGATGTTATGGAGATGGTGGAGCACAATACTGTTCTGCACTGCTGATTGATCCATTTGATGGTTATATATTTAGCTATGTTTAAATATTTGAAATAAACACAGACTCACATGGTTTAATAATAAACACATGGTTTTCTATTTTATCCTTGGATTGCTGATTCAGTGAAGTATCTTAATCAAGAAGATGTTGATGGAAATGACAAAGAGCATTTTCTCCTTTGAGTCTACCCTTGAATTGATGTTGCCATTACAATTAAATAAGTAAGCCTTCATTAGTAAGGAACAGCTTTTTGTTCTCCCCATTATGGGTCATGTGGAAATTTTTCTTTCAGGCTAAAAGTTGGAATGTTAACCATGATGACTGCTGATGCATTTGGGTTTGTGGGGATATCTGTTTCTGAAAGAGCACCAAGAATAATGATTCTCTCAGACAGTAAAGGATCACATTATTCCAGTCCCACTCTCTCCCGCTAACTTAATAAGATAAGTTACTACCTTATCTACCTAAAAGGAAAGTCATTTCAAAAGCCAGATATGCTTGTACTGAAAACAGAAATTACTAGAATTCTAACCAACACTGATATATTGTCTCATTTCAATTTCTCATGATTTGGGATAGAAAACCATTAGATGAAAGCAAAGAGATACATAAATTAACTAATTTGTATTTTTATTGCCCCAATTACAATAAATAAGTAATAAATAAAAATGTTCAGATCAGCTATAGTAGTCTACAAAGGACTAAACTGAATCCACAGCTCTCTCAAATATATAGAGCTCTTTCAGTGTACAACAAACAATCTCTGGATAGAAAAAGTTTTTGAACAGAACAAAACTTTTAGTATTAAACAGGCATTTCCAAATACATGTCATTGCTTGTCCTAGTTTCAGTTTGCAATCTTATACATGCTTAAGAGGAGACATTGTTCTGGGAAAAGAAGTAAACAGTTGGTTACTGATAAACTAAGGGATGCGGTGACTCAGTGGCTAAGATGCTGAGCTTGTCGATCAGAAAAGTCAGCGGTTTGGTGGTTCGAATCCCTAGCAACGCATAACGGAGTAAACTCCTGTTAGTTGTCCCAGCTTCTGCCAATGTAGAAGTTTGAAAGTATGTAAAAATGCAAGTAGAAAAGTAGGGACCACTGTGATGGGAAAGTAACAGAGTTTCGTACACCCTCGGCATTTAGTCATGCTGGCCACATGACCATGGAAATGTCTTCAGACAGCGCTGGTTCTTTGGTTTTGTAATGGAGATGAGCACCGCCCCCTAGAGCCAAAAATGACTAGCACATATGTGTGAGGGTAACATTTACCTTACTGATACTGTTGTTTCAAAATATTGATTAATTGCATTTTGTAACAAAGATACAACTTGAGAATAGAATATTTCTGCTACTAAATTCATTTTATATAAACTTTTCAAGTTTTGTCATCTGAAAATTAAGAACTTAGAAGTATCTGGAAGATTTACATAAGGTCAGAAAGAATCTGGCAGCAACTGCAGGCTCCATTCTGGTCAAGTTCAAAGGGCTGCTTGTATAAACAAACATTCCATCCAAAACATGTCAATAGTAAGTCCTGTCCTGCCTGGTCCCATGGAATTAAAGGCCAGTGATTACATGTCTCTTAGAACAACCCAGGTCATAATCTATAAGGATGCTTTTATTTATTATTCACATCTGGAGCCATTGATCACACCAACAGTCTAAAATATTGTGATACCAAGATAACTTGGTTTCATTTGAAAGTGTCCAAAGGTCACTGAATATTTACATTTGTTGGATATATCTCACAGATCAATATGAACGAATTCTGGGAGCTTGATCTGTAGATCCATAAGAACACATAGATCTGTCTAAAGTCAATATATATTGCAAAATGTATTAAATATTTAATTTTCTGAGTTTTGGAAGCAATAATGCAAAGTGGAATGAGCTGAAGCCCTCGCTTAAACTAAAATGCATTTTATAACTGAATAAGAAAACTTGAAATCATTTCCAAATACTGTATTGACATATGAGCAGAATTGTTATCACAGGTTAGTTAGATATTGTTTTCCCCCATTAATTTCTACCATGTTTCCCCCCAAATAAAACCCTGTCTTATATTTATTTTCCACCAAAAAGGCACCAGGCCTTATTTTGGGGGAAGTCATCCACTGATTCACCTCACTTGCCACGTCACCCTCAGCCTCCTTTTTGCTGTCAGAGGTCTTCAGGAACTCATTTTTCTGCAGACGGCAAAGGCTTTCCTGAAGGCCTCTGCAGCCAATAACAAAGCTCTGGATCAATCAGGAGCTTTGTTATCAGCTATAGAGGCCTTCAGGAAAGCCTCGCCAGCTTTGCCAGCTGCAGAAGAAATGGGCTGGAAAGGCAGGTGTCAAGGTATGCAAGGCCTGGCTACAACTGTCCAAAGGTAAGTAGTAGGGCAGCTCCACCCCCACATCCCCACCCTAGCTTAATTTTTACCCATGCACTCTGGAGAGGGCAGGATCTTAATTAGGGCTTATTTGGGGGGGTAGGGCTTATATTGGGTGCATGTGTAAAAATAAGGCTAGGACTTACTTTTAGGGTAGGTCGTATTTTTGGGGAAACAGGGTACTTCTCTGTTATTTGAAACCACAATGACAGACATTCTTTGTCAGATAAGATGCTACTAAGGACTGAAAAGCAGAGCTGGCTTCCACCAGTAATTTGTAAATCCATGCACATAGCATGATAAAATATTTATCAGAAGTGTGTTTTAAACCACACAGTTTTGTGCAATAGAAAGCTCTAAGAATTTATCCAGATGGAAGTTATTTATATGAATTTGTCTTGTAATAAACGTCAAATTTTCATAAATATGAACTTATTTTATGATTTGTCTCCTAAAGTCTGGCACATCAGGAACAATGCATCTAATTCTGGCTGCATTACTCCAATTTTTCATTTGTGTTACCACTTCTATTAGTGGGCTTCCTGAATCCCCACCCCACTTGCTACTGTGCTTCTTGCTATTTTCTCCAATTTCTCCCCTTGCTCCCCTTGTGCTCATGTACTCCACCATTATCCCCAATTTCCCTCTGCAAATTGTACTGTGCTCCCTGCCCCAACTCTGTAGTTGTATATTTCTGCATGAGTTTATTGGATTGGTCCATTTTTGCCATTTCCCATTCAACTTTCAAGAAGATATCCCAAACAAGCAATTCTGCCATCTTTACTTTGTTCCAGCAGATCTTTGGTTTCTGGTCCCCGAACAGCAAGTGTGGCACATAAGATTGTTTTCAACAATAAAAAAGATCATATTTTATTCTTATCTTTGTGAAACATGATTTACATCTGATGTCTGTTACTGTACATAAAGGGGTTTTCATGGTGATCTTCTACTTTTTTCCTCCTTATGTTCAATTCTAGTTGTCAAAAGTATATGGCTCAGTCTTCAGGATTCAACTGGGATTCCAGAAAATTGTGGTATTGGCTGGATACAAAACAGTGAAGGAAGCTCTTGTGAATCACGCTGATGCATTTGCAGAGAGGCCAAATATCCAGCTTTCTGATGAAATACATGAGGGCTTTGGTAAGCTTTTCTCATTCTATGTATCAGTAACTATCCGTGAGGGAAAAAGTAACTATTGTGAGGGGAAAAGTTAGTATTGACATGATATAGGAGATTTGTAGGAGAAAACATAGGAAACAAGATAGAAACTAAGAACCTGGCTGCCCTAAGATAGGACTGAAAAAGTGAGAAAGAGAACTGAAGTCAATTCTGCAAAGTTTTTGACCTATACTTTTCCTGATTTCTTTTAACCATCCTTGGACAATTTAATCTTCACACTGGATGGTTGGAGAAATAGAGTTTGTAAATAAGGGAATGTTTGTAATTTTCTGAGTTACAGAAAAGCTTCACATGAAACTACATATGCATTCGCCACACTAACTTTCTTACTCTGTACAATGCAGAAACAACTGCCATAAACATTCTCTTCATTATAAGGGCAGAAAATTTCAGTAATGCAAGTATGTTTTTTAGTTTTGCACTTTCTCTTTAGGTATCCTTTTTTCTCATGGGGAGAATTGGAAAGTGATGCGCCGCTTTACCATATCTGCATTACGGGACTATGGAATGGGCAAGAGGACTATAGAGGATAAAATAACTGAAGAGTGCAGGGTCCTGATAAAAACATTTGAATCTTATGAAGGTGAGTTGATTTTTCCTTCTGATGATTCACTTGGAGCTAGACATTCAGAGATTTATTGCAGAAAAGTTAACCGTCTACCTCTAGAGCTACCAACAAAGTTCCTCAAACACTCAAATCCTATTTAATATTCCTTTGTCCAACATATTCATTTTTTCCAGGACCAGCTATCAGTTTCCCGGAGAAATGTACTGTGTCTAAGATGGAAGACTTTGCCATTGAAGAGTCTTTTAAAGCTGATGTTCTTTCATAGCTGTAAATTAATTTTAATGACTTTGTTTAATTTTAATATTTGCTATATAGGACAACCATTTGAGAATACAGCACTTATGAATTCCGCTGTGGGCAACATCATAGTGTCCATTGTACTTGGCAAGCGATATCAGTATGAAGACCCCACATTTCAAAGACTAATAAAGTTAGTCAATGAAAATGTCCAGCTTGCAGGAAGCCCTCCTGTCTTGGTAAATTATTTTTTCAATTTTAAAAAGAGTTCATTGTGTGTTCACTGTGTTATCTTTACTGTAGTGTGGGATTGATAATAAATATTCCATGGTTTTCAAGATCCACTATGACAGAAAAAGCCCTGGTGTCTTATATGCTGTATGCCAGGGGTCCCCAACCACCGGACCGCGGACCGGTACCGGTCCGTGGATCATTTTGTACCGGGCCGCAAAGAAAATAAAAATAAAAATGGCGGCTTTCTTCGCCTTTGGTGAATGCTGCTGGGATCAGGGATCAAGGACACAAATGAAAGAAGGGGAGGGAGGAAGCAACCTCTCTCAGTCGCTCTCTCGCTCCTCCACCAGCCCAGGAAGAAACTGCACCAAAGAAGCCGGCAGGGTGGCTTTTCCTGTCGGTGCAGCTCCTCCGAAGTGCCTGTTCACCCCCCACCCCGCCGCCTGCGGTTCAATCCAGTGCTCCGTTCTGCCTGCCTGCCTGCCTGCCTTCGTTTCTGGTTGTTTCGGAGTAGCTTTGGCTGAGAATAATAACTATTCGCCTCTTTTACTCAGCCGAAGCTGCTCCGAAACAACCACAAATGAAGGCAGGCAGGCAGAATGGAGCACTGGATTGAACCACGGGCGGCGGGGTGGGCGTGAACGGGCGCTTCGGAGGAGCTGCGCTGACAGGAAAAGCCACCCTGCCGGCTTCTTTGAAGCAGTTTCTTCCTGGGCTGGTGGAGGAGCGAGAGAGCGACTGAGAGAGGAACGAGGCAGACACCTGAGGGATGAGGCTGAGGAAGGCAGGGCTGAGAGGCGGGGCTTCTCAGCCATCCTGCAGGGACTTGTCTTGAGCCGTGGAGACAGCCACGGGCCACCGCCGCCCAGCGCTCAGTTTTGAAGGCGCTCCTCAGCCCGGCGCAGTTCCTGAATCTGCAGCTGAAACTCTCCATTTTAAATGTCCCAATAGAAGAGAATATCTGTCGCTCAGGGTTGCAATGAGGAGGCATTGGCGCTCCCTGAACTTGGTGGTTTGCTGGCAGACATTTTATTACCCGACTAGGTAACAACATCAGATGTTATCTAGTCAGGTAATGAAAGGTCTGCAAGCAAGCCACCAAACTTGGACTCCTCCCCCTCCCCCCCCCCCTTGAAAAAGTGTCCCTCCCCCCCCCCCCCCCTTGAAAAAGTGTTTCTGCATGAAACTGATCCCTGGTACAAAAAAGGTTGGGGACCACTGCTGTATGCAACCATTTCCCACTATGAAATATGAATACTTTTAATAACAATGTCTACATTGCCCACATGAAAATTATTCAGGTTTCTTCCATGACTCTTTTTATTCTTTTTGTATTTTTCAGTTCTATAATATGTTCCCCCTGTTTGGCTTTCTTTCTGGTGCTCGTAAGATACTTCTGAATAACAAAAAGGAATTGTTTGGTTTCATAAAGACCACTTTCATAGAACACCTCAAAGTTCTGGATGAAAATGACCAGAGGAGCTTTATTGATTCATTTCTTGTCCGACAGGCAGAGGTAAGGAAGTGTTTCATGCCAGAAATTCTGACTGAGGGGCCCTTGGTGCTCTCTGGGTTTGGTTATTTTCTTATAGATGTTTCGTCACCCAAACTCGGTAACTAGATAACTAGTAGTGATGATGTTACCTAGTTTGAATAATGAACTTCTGCAAGGAAAACAACGAAACCAGTAGTAGGATTCAAACTTTTTTACTACTGGTTCTGTGGGCGTGGCTTGGTGGCCCTGGCAGGGGAAGGATACTGTAAAATCTCCAGTCAGAGGTGGGATTTGCTGGTTCTCCGAACTACTCAAAATTTCTGCTACCGGTTCTCCAGAACTGGTCAGAACCTGCTGAATACCACCTCTGAACCAAGCTCAAAGAGCACCAAGGTCCCCTCATTACAATCTTGAGCTGATAAAGGTATTCTTCTTTATTGCTAATTCCAAATGAGCTTTTCATATCATATTCATACCTTTAAAGCAGAAAATAATAACTCATTTTTAACTGATAATTGAAAGTTCTAAACTAAAAACCTAGGGAGTTTCCTTAAAAATGTCCCAAAGAGTACATTTTGAGGGTTATACTAAAGTGCTACATATAGTATGAATTATCTGCTGCAAAACATTTGTTTAAAGTATTAATTTCCTCAATTTAAATGAAGTTCCTTTAAACAAATCTGTTGCTGCTCCTGCTCCTCCTCCTCATAATAATATTAGCATTACTACTATAACTACTACTACTACTAATAATACATTTAAATTTGGCACAATCATCTGAGTTGTGCTGTCTGTGGTTATACCTTGATTGGAATACAATGAAAGTGAGATCTGTTTAAAAAAATAATTACCTCCCAAATCATGTGTTTTTTTTCCAAGACAACTTGTGGAAAGCAAAAAAATAGTTGTAAAGGGCTTAGTTAATGAAAGCCCTGTTTAGACATAGATACAATGCCAGGCAATTATGAAATAATGATTTTTGGTCATGTAGGAACTCAACTGGGGAGGGTGTCTTTTGAAAACATTGCTGAATATTTGGCTTGGGTTTTTTTAAAAAAAAAAATGTTTGGAGAAGCTTCAGTATGATGGAGATATTTTTTTCCTCCAATGCTTAATATTTTCCCTCTCTGGGAGTATTTCATTTATTTATTTACTGAGTTTCTGAGGCTTCAAAACATAGGGGGAGGAAGGAAGGAGGTATCTTCCTTGGCATCTCTGATGAAACATGCTTCCTTTAGCCATTACTCAGGTGTCAGCATCCACCCTAGAACCTTGCCATTTTAATATTTCCAATTCTTATAAATTAGATAGATGCTGGTTGCTTGTCCTCTTTGCTTATTTATTTTGTGATAACTGGACTGAAAGCAAAAACTCACTGATTTATCTTTGTAAGATAGTCTTGGGATTTTCAGGAAAAAGAAGGAAGAAAATTAAGATTCCTGCCTTGGGGTTTGTACTAGAAGACCTTCAAGGTCCTTTCCAACCCTAAAAAATGATAAAACAGCATATTGATTTAGAGCCAGAAATATTTCTGTTGGGGATTCTACCCAAAAAATATAGTAAGGAAAATGCATATTTAGTTATTCATATATTAACTGCTGCTAGAATTATATTTGCACAAAGCTGGAAGAGTGAAGAGATACTTACAGATGGGAATGTGATTACAAAAATATTAGAATGTGCAGAAATGAACAGACTAACGCTTGCAACTAAGGAGAAAGATCAAACTGAATGATATATGACATGGGCTTTATTTTATCAATGCTTAAACAACAAAAAAGGAAGTTAGACACAGGGAAACAAGGAAACAAAATAAAGGAGATATGTTAAAAGAGATAAGCAAATGTTATTAGTATGTTTAATATTACTATTTTAATATTGTAGAATTAATATGTGGAATATTACTATTTTAAAATTGTAGAATTAATATCAATGTAATGAATGATGTTTCACGTTTTGATTACTGTTCAACAAAGATATTTGTACCCAGACAGCACACTGTTCAACTGAAGATGGAATTATTATATTAAAAATAAAAAAATAATTAAAAAGGGTTCTTTCCAACCCTATGATTTTATGAAAATAGGAATTTCTAGAGGACTTTTTATAGAATTTCATGCTCATTATTTTCATTTCTATGAATGTCTTAATCACAAATCATAGGGAGCTCAGTACTTTAGGGTGTTTAGAACCACCATTCCCACAATCCTTTTTATTGGTTTAGAAAGCTGGGGACTGAAATCCCAAATTCTGGGAGATGCTCCTATTGTTCAGAGTTTTCCAGCTCTCTGCTATTTAGTTGATGTGAGTATACTGAATATGCTTTGATAGACTATTTATCTATTGCAGGAGAAGAAAAACAAAGCAGAAGGATATTTTCATAATGAAAACCTAACTGCGGTTGTGAATAACCTATTTGCTGCTGGGATGGACACGACTTCAACCACATTACGCTGGGCCATACTACTAATGATGAAATATCCTGACATTCAGAGTAAGCATTTTTCATCTGGTTGGATTTCAATATTCAAATATTTTGTTAAATTAAAGTATAAGGCAATGAAACATTTTACAATTTTACAAAAGTAAAATTTCATGCCTAACAATTGTTGTCAGAAAAGGAGTAATGTGTTAAATGGTGTGGAATTTCTTTGCACAGTTCCTTTGTTGTCTATAAAAAATCCTTGGTTACTTGCAACATTCATTTAGCTAGGCCATTGAGAGAGAACCTATGACATGCATGATATATTTGATATATCAAAGTTTACCAACACCTAAAAACTATCCTTGAAAGCATGCCCCATTCTTACAAAAGGTTTAGAGGCTGTGGAGACATGTGAGAATAAGGACCTGCTCTTGCATGGCCTACAGAGCCTCTGAAATCATGTGAGAACAGATTTGGAGAGTTTTCAGAAGTGCTACTTCAAGAATAAAGGACTCATGGAACTCAAGCTGCCTTAGGTAGGGCACAGGAGCTAGTCAACAGAAAACAAAAACAAAAGCCATCATATGAAGGTAAATGCTGCACACAAGGACAATTGTGCCCTTCCCAAATCCCCATGCACCTTAGCATCAGGTGGCCTGTTTGAGTATCAACATCATTGTATTACTGTAAGATACTCATACCAGCAAAAATAAATTTTGTCCAACACTTGAAGAAAGAAACAATTCTAACAATATCTGATTGGGAATTTAAATTTGAAGAATATGCAGCAATGGCAAAATCAACAGCATATATATACCACAGAATTTTAACCAATTCAAGCAAAAACATTTCCCTTATATAGAATATACTGTATTATTGCAGCATGGCCATTTAAAAAAAAAATCTTGCATGATGGCATCACATTTTTAGAACTTTTCATGATACTTATCTTTCACAGTTAAATGTACCCACGGTTTAATGCAAAATTAAAACATTAACAAACATCTTATAATTGCTTCATTTTCCTAGACAAGGTCTCTGAAGAAATTTCAAGAATCATTGGGTCTGCTCAGCCAAGGACTGAACATCGAGCAAAGATGCCTTATACTGATGCAGTTATCCATGAAGTCCAAAGGTTTGCTGATATTGTTCCAGCAAATGTAGCACGAGCAACTACAGTGGATATAACTTTCAAAGGCTTTTTCATTCCAAAGGTGATTAGTCTCATATAATCTCTTTGTTCATTCAGTGTTATCCAGTGTATACCCTCTTAATTATTATGTCCAACCAGATCATCCTCCTGATAAGTTTGAGATCTATGTTATAAATATTACCAGTGTTCAACATTTCTATATGTCTGAAATTTAAATCACAATCCTTTTTAACTTTGAAATAGGAAGATAAAAGCTGATACAAACTAGTACACGACAAGAAAGTAAAAAGAAAAGAAGGAAATCACACAAGAAGCAAAAAGTGCAAGAAGAGGAAAAAAAGTTAAAGAAGTAGCTTCTAATATTCTTCATAGCAGTTATAAGTACAAATATATTTTCACTTCTCTCTCTAAGGTTGCATCATATTCTTCTTCTTTCTATATTTTACCCTGCCTAATTATTGAAACTCACAAGTTTTTTATTTTTATACTAAAAGTCCATAAGAGGCTTTCAATCCAGAATAAATGTAGATAATGTAATGTCTTTCATCAAAAAGGTTAATTTACAATTTCAGCAAAATTTACCAAACTCACCAAACATTCCTCCATAATGGCTAGTGCCTAATTTTTCATCTCTGTTCTGCTGCAATCATACAGTATATTGAAATAATCTGCCATGTGTTTTTTTCCCTAACTGTCTATCCATCAATCCTAAAAGGAAGTTCAGACTTCAAATTTAATCTTAACTTTTACAATCCTTTGTATCAAAGTATGTATTTGGATCCAACATTTTTAGCCTTTTTACCTCTCCACCAAACATGATAAAATGTTGAACAAAAGTTTAAATTTATATTTTAGCAATTACATGTTCCTCATCAGTGCAGTTTTTGCTCCATATCATAAGCCTTTATCCATTTTATTTTTTTCTGATAACTGTAAGTAGGGCAACTATATCTTTCTGCTATTAATTGTTCTCTTGATCTGATTTTAACATCCCCCTGATAATTTTCCAATAGGTCTCTAATTTTCTCATACATCACTTATTATTTATTATATATATTTATGTATTTATTTGCTGTATATCTTTATGTTCTGTAATTTGCTAAGAGTTTCTCTATCTGGGAGATAGGCAGCATATAAATTTAATAAATAAATAAGCCAACTTCAGGAGTGGTGGTTCCCCCTAGTGGTCCCAAGCTAACCAGCAAAACCAACTTCAAATATCTTTCCAGAAGGTGGGAGCTGTTTTCACATCTGGTGATAAGAGTGTTCCACAGGGTTGTTGCCACAGCTTTTCTCCTTGACCCCAGCTGCTGAAATTTCTTAGCAGACAGGCTTCTTCCACTGGTGTGAGTGCAGTAGTCCCATTGGGTTGAGACAACTTCTCAGATACTCTGGACCCATGCCATATAGGGCTCTAAAGATAATAACTAGGAGCCTGAATTGGGCCCACAAGCAAACTGGTAACTAATGCAGGTCCTGCAACAGTAGTGTTATATGTGGCCATTTTAGGGCCCCCAGAGCTGTGAATGTTGTTCCATTCTGCACCAGCTGTACTGCAGCTTCTGAACATTTTTCAAGAGTTGCCCTATTTAGAGTACATTGCAGTAATCCAAACAAGAGATGAGTAGGCCATGAGTGATCATGTGCAGGGCCTCACAATCCAGGAAAGGGGGCAGCTGGTGTGCAACACAAAGTTGTACAAAGGCCTTCCTAGCCATGATTTCCCCTCACTCTTTGAGCAGGAGTCACAAGTCCAGGTCAACTTCTTGATTTTGTACAGATCTACTTGGGGTAATGCAACCCTCCATCCAGAATTAAGGGTGATAAAGAACCAGATCTTGAGGTTATCTGCTTCTATAGCCATTCAGTTTTGCCAGAGTTCATCTGAAGCCTGCAGGCACTGAGACAGGGCAGCCATAGCATCACTTGGATCATCCACAATGGAGATTTTCTTAATTTTCTTTTTTCTTTTTGTTCAGATTTTTTTCAATCCCATCAAATCTTTCCTCCATTCCTTTTTTTAACTGTTGCAGTCATTTTTTAAGCAAATTCTTCAAACAGTTTCTGTTTGAAAATAAATATGTTGAAATGCCCTTATCAGCAATTTGTTCTAGGATCCTTCTCCCAGTTTGGATGTTTTTCTTGTGCTTGCTATAGTGAGAAAGTGGAAGTTTAACAGTTACTAGTCTAATAGATAATAAAGGCTGAGCACCAAAGAAATGAGGCCTGTGACCTATGGTGCTGGAGAAGACTCCTGTAAGCCCCTTGGTGTTCTGACCCAAACCTTGTTCCAAGGAAACAAACACCAAACAGAGGTAAAAGCAAAACCTTTTAATGCTTCTCTGCGAATTCTGTTCATTCACAGTTAAAAGGCTATGAAAACTAATTATCTCTGATAAGAACAGTTAAAAGGCTATGAAAACTAATTATCTCTGATAAGAACGAACCTTGTCAAGGTTGTGCAAGGCTGCAAAGAACACTAGATTAAATTGCTAAGAACTATTCAAAACCAAAAGTCTCCAAACACAAACCAGGATAGTCCAAACGTCCACAAGGCTTGGAGTGCAAGATCATCTTTGCTTCCTGCAAAGAATCCCAGTCTTTCAGGCTGGCTTTTATCTCTTAAGGGAGGGGACATTACCTTGCAGCCTTACTCCTGAGTCGCCCATGCTGCTGCAACTGCTTTTTCCTTTGAGCAGCCCTGCGCACATGTGCACTGAGCACAGGCTCCTCGGGGTCCTCTGCATCAATGCTTCCAGCCTCCACATTCTCTGAAGGTAGCATTCCACTCCCTGATGGTCCTGGACTCATCCCTGCATCACACACAGGCCCCTCATCCAAGTCCTCGTTCTCCAAGGTCTCAGCCGTCCACACCTACTTCCGGCAAACCACAACATTTGGACTGCAAGACGGTCAGTCCTAGAGGAGATCAATCCTGACTGCTCTTTAGAAGGCCAGATCCTGAAGTTGAAACTCAAATACTTTGGCCACCTAATGAGAAGGAAGGACTCATTGGAGAAGAGTCTAATGCTGGGAAAGATTGAGGGCAAAAAGAAGAAGGGGACGACAGAGAATGAGGTGGCTGGTTGGAATCACTGAAGCAGTAGGTGTGAGCTTAAATGGACTCCACAAGATGGTAGAGGACAGGAAGGCCTGGAGGAACGTTGTTCATGGGTCATGATGGGTAGGACACGACTTTGAAACTAACAACATTACTATGATGAGAATAAAGTAGGCTTTATTTTTCTCTTTTGTTTTTCTCTAATATATACTTTTTAGTCTCAGCTAGCTTTACATAATCACAGCCAAGCAGCCTAGCTCATAATATTCTTATCTTCTTGTTTTGTAAAACCCACCATTATTGTCCTCATATACAGTAGAGTCAGCCTCCCCATGTTAGTCTAATTAAGTTTATTTAATTTCAAAGATACTTTCATCAAAGAAAAAAAATCTATTTGTTCAAATCACTATCCTTTACTCTTTGAGACCTAATATCACAATCTTGTCAAGTGTTTTGTCTTTAAATTAAAAGCCATTAAGATAGGGTTTTATTTGTCTTCTTAATTTCACAAAGAAGACCCTCATTGAGATTCTTTAAGTCTTAGTGCTCTTCAGAATATCTTTCTTAAGTTCTAAAGCAATTAAACTGCAAAGTGATTAGGAAGTTGATACTTCGGCCAGTCAAATGTTCGTAAAAAGGCTGCAAAGTCACTATTGTAAATACCAATAAAGGAGAATATTTGTAGCTCAGGGTCGACATGAAGGGTCCTGAGCTTGCTTTTTTTTTTTTTTTGCAGACCTTTCATTACCCTAACAAGGTAATATCATTAGTGCTAGTAAGGAGTGCTGTTTGCGGTCAGTTGACTGCAAACTGACAGCAAACAGCACTCCTTACTAGCACTGATGAAGTTACCTAGTTAGGGTAATGAAATGTCTGCAAGAAAATAAAAAAAAGCAAGCTCAGAGAGCACCAAGGATCCCTCACTATTATAAGTCCTTGATTCCTAAGCTACTCAACCCAAGAAATTAAATTACTGTAGTTTTTTTTAGAGAGGACCAGCTCTTCTAGAGCACACATTGATAATCCCCCAATTTCTCCTTCTTCCAAAGAAATTTTCTATCAGCCAAACCTGACCCTTAGCTGGCAGGTCCACTGTTGTGCTGTCTCTGCAAAGCTATTAATAGAGACATCTAACTGGTCATAACAATTCACCTGGAAGGTGTTCCATTCCCATCACATTGGCAAATTCATGTATTTTTAATGGCTTTTTAAGTTTTCATAGTAATGAGTAAACCAATGAGGAGTGCTAATTGTTTAATAGTTCATTAATACCTGCAGGGCACGCACATTGTTCCCTTGCTGACTTCTGTGCTCCATGATGAATCCCAGTGGGAGAAACCTCATGAATTCTACCCTGAGCATTTTCTTGACTCGGAAGGAAAATTTGTGAAGAGGGATGCATTCATGCCATTTTCTGCAGGTAACATCTTCTATCATACTTGTATGGAGCGAATGAAGAGTCTCAACAACAGATTCTTCCTTTCAACATTATTTGTAAAGAAATCATCAGAATAATCCACTCAACATTCTAAAAATGGCAAAAACTATAATAGGATGCTCAAGTTATTTTCAGGGATTCAGTGTAGAAGAAATGTACTGGAGGTTCATGTTTTAAAAAAAACTGCATTATTCCTTATACGTTTAATCTCTATTGTAAAATTTCGGATTAGTTCATTTTCATGCATGTAATCTGTCATCTCTGAGCCACCATTTTATGGCAGGAACTGCAAAATGTTACTGAAGAACCAATGAAACCCATTTCCCCATCCTTGTTCATTGTTACAGGTCGGAGAATCTGCTTAGGTGAGACCCTTGCCAAAATGGAGCTCTTTCTGTTCTTTACCAGCCTGCTACAGAAATTCACTTTCCAGACACCCCCTGGAATATCAAAAGAAGACCTGGACTTGACACCAGCAATTGGGTTTACAGCTCCTCCTATGCCATATAAGTTGTGTGCTCTGCCTCGTTCATAACATGAATCATCATTTAGATTCTAGATTCCTGTACTTCCATATGTGTATTTGTGATGTTTTTCAATCTTCTCTACCCACCAGTCTCTTGGTGGAAATATGCTATGATTATTCATACATTTTAAAGCTTACATGCCGCTTTGCAAAGCACAATAACATTTGAGATAAAAGCTAGTTTAAAATGGATTTCAGTTCTTGTGACATTCTTACAAGATAATGTAATAAGCAACAGCTAATAATAATAGTAGTAGAATGATAGGAGTTAGTAGAAACATCAGAAGCTTTGTGCAAAGATCGGTGGCACAATGGAAAACATAGTTGCCAGTCAACAGTGATAGATTGGGGGATGTTAATATCAAAATAAGTTTTTCAAGGAGACTCTCCATCACCTCTGCAGTTTGTTATTGCTCTGATTCCTCTGTCAATACCACTGAATAACTCAGCCCCTGGCTATCAAACATAAAAACCATCTGCTAGAATATCCCACCTCCTTTACAGGGATGATCTGAAACTGTATGGAAAAACACCATCTGAAATAGAATTGCTGCTCAACATTGTCCATATATACAGCCAATATATTGTAATGAAGTCTGGACTGAACAGATGCACCACCCTTACCATCAAACCAGGGGGAAATAGTGGAAACTAATGGAATCAAGATGCCCACGAGAATAACATCAGAAGTTTGGATGAAGACAATCACTACAAACTTCTGTGTATCCTTTAAGCTGACATCAAGCACACTGAAGCCAGGAACAAAGGTTAGAAGTGAATACATTAAGAGGGTGAAGAAGATCTTAAAGTTCAAACTCAGTGCAGGAAATACTATGAAGGCAATTAACACCTGGGCAATTTCAATTATTAGATACACAGCTGGAATAATGGACTGCATTCAAGCAGAACAAAAATCCCTAGATAGGAAGACCAGAAAAAGAATGACAATGACTCATGCCCTTCATCCACACATCTTCCTTTCTTCTCAGTAACCTTATCTCCAGCAGGCATAATCATAAAAAACAACAGTACACAATAAAACACAGTTGCATTCATTTATTGAATCTCAGCAGTTAGTAAGTATGTATGTGCTTATTGATCAGGTTACATACGTGAAAAGGGGAATGGGGTTAGGCTGAAGAATTTGGTAAAATACAAGAATATACATCTAGCCCTATTTATTAGTACATGTGCGCGCAAAACATAGTCACTGAACTAGTACTAACACCAGTTGGGATTCAACTGGTGTAACTACCGGTTCGGTGACTATGTATTGCGTGTGCATGTACTAATAAATCCCATCCCCGATGTGCATATGTACGCCAGCCCACACTCATGCAGCTTTCCTTCTCACCTCCCAGCTGGGCTGCCAAGCCACTAAGGTTAGAGACCGCTGCTCTAGAGATTATATGATCCTATCTGTACAGACTCCCTAATGGATAAACTAGTGCCTCACTTACAAGATAAGTCTGAAATGTCTATTCCGTCATACTTTAAAATTTATCCAACAGACTCCAAAAACTATCTCACAGTAACAGTTAACTATGCACATCACGAGCAGTTGTCTTTAAAGAACAAGAGTAATTCTGTAGTTCACCAGTTCCCAGTCTTGCAATCTAGGCCTCTGAAGGGCTTCAGCTGGAGGGTAGCAGCTGATGCTGTTTGACAGCTCCCTTTTATAGTCAGCTGTCAAACAGCGTCAGCCAATCGAAACGGTCCATGTTCTCGCTGGAAACACGGACCAGAGTGAAGACTTCAGCTCAGTCCTTTCGGAACACAACACTCCTTTCTCCCCGAACAGAGCATGCATAGTCCTTTAGATAACTCGGGTGCTTGCGCAGGTGCCAGATCTTCTCAGCCCCAATGAGGCTGCTTCAGGATGGGACTCCTGCTTCTGGCAATGCAGGAGTAGTCACCACGGCTTCAGATAGCTCGGGGTGTGGGACCGATGACTGTCCAGGTAGGCTCGCGACGCTGTCGGGTTCATGGTGAGTTTCCTCAGGCGCTGGTGCTCTCACTGCAGCAAGAACATCCAGAGAGGCACCTGTAGAAGTACTCCAATGCCTCCTTAGTTGGTCAACATGGCCACACCAAATGCGACCATCTTGGACTCTGTAAGACTTAGGGCCAGTTACTGCCACAATCTGCCTAGGCATCCACAAATGTTGACCAGCGTAGTTCCTGCCAAAAACCTGCTCATTTTCAGCAAACTGCCTAGCCTGGCTATTTGAGCCCAAGGGTGTGACTGGGCCATAATTTGGATGGAGTCTGTCTAAAGTGGTCCTCAGACGGTGACCCATGAGGAATTCAGCTGAAGACCTATTTGTGGTGGCACAGGGAGTCATGTGCTGGATTAGGAGGTACTTAGCAAGTCTGGAGTGCCAATCTATGGGCCCAAGCCTCTCCAGGACATCCTTAGCAGATCTGACTGCCCTTTCATCCAGACCATTACTGGCAGGGTGAAAAGGAGCTGTTAGGGCATGTCTGATTCCTTGGTTAGCTAGGAAAACCTCAAATTCACAGGATGTGAACTGGAGGCCATTATCAGACACAATGGTGTCAGGGAGGCCATGGGTGGTGAATATTCTCATTAGGGCCTTAGTGACAGCTTCTGAAGTTGTGGAGGTCATTAAAGTCAGCTCTACCCATTTAGAAAAATAATCAACCATCACTAAGAATGTTCGTTCATGAAAAGGACCAGCCAGATCAATATGCAACCTGGACCAGGGGGACCCTGAATCTTCCCATGTTCCAGGAGTAGATGCTGGTGGGGAAGTTTCATAACTAATAAGCCCTAATTCTCAGCAATTTGTTCCAGACCCTCAGCATTAGACAAGCAACATGGTTTTGTAGGAGAAAACATGTTGAAGATCATATGTGACAGTATAATGCTATGGAGAGAACTCCACTAGCATGGTTATTTAAGAGCAACATTCCTAGAGCAATCATTCAAGTATAATGTTTTCCAAACATTTTCTGGCTGAGCTAATCAACAGAATTTATAAGTCCAAGTTCAGATGGATATTTTCTTTTGGATATTTAAAACTGAGTTGGAATGAAAGGAAATAAAGAAGAATGATGAATAAGTAAAAAAGAAGGAATGGTTTCTAATCTTTTTGACAGCAGTTATAAATGCATTTATATTTGTAGGAAGAGAAATCTGGTCCTGTTCCAAGCCAGGAGAAAGATGCTGGAAATAAAATGGAGGCTGACTGGTTGGAAAGAAAGTCTCTGTTTATTTGGTTTCCAGAAGCCTCAGTGACAGCAGCATGTTTCTGGGTTGGCTGACAAAATGGCTGAGTGAGTGGATGGATCTTTATAAGGTTTTTTCGGGAGGTTGTGATTGAGATGCTCCAGGGGGTTTGCAATGTAACAAGCCTTGTGTCTTTTACTATTTCAATGGTAGTGGATTAATCCTAAAGGTCATGTCCTGTCCTTACAATTTGGGTAGGGGAATGTAGATTTTAATCCCATCAGCTTCAACCAGGGGTGGGATTCTACTGGTTCGCACTACTTCTATAGAACCAGTTGTTAATGTTCCCGTTAGTTTGGAGAACCGGTAAAACGGCCCCCTAGCTGGCCCTGCCCCTCTCCGCCCACTTCTCCTGAATCCTCCTTCTCTCTGCTGCTCAGGACCAGTTTCTGATGGGGGCGGATTCAGAATCTTTCCACTGTTTGGGGGAAAATTTTGCTCTCCCAAAATGCTGCTTTAAGTGTGACAGGACCTTGCAGTCCCATTGCAAAGTCCCGTCACACCTGCCTCTTTAAGCATGCTGCTTTAAATCCTGCCTGCCACTAAAGCATCTCCCAGTGGACTGATGACGGCTAGGGTGGGGGCTGCTCAAGGTTCCGTTGCAATTGCACGCCACCCCACTTCCCCTTTTCTTCCTTTTCCCACCACCCGCCGCTGACTGGAGCTGTTCGTCCAAAACCAGGTGTGTATATGTGTGTGTGTGTGTTTGTGTGTGAGTGAGAGAGAGGGGTAGGGGGAAAGAGAGGAGGGAGAGAGAGAAAGAGAGGGATAGAAAGGGGGGAGAGAGAAAGAGGGGGGAGAGAGAGGGAAAGAGAAAGAAAGAGAGGGAAAGAGAGAACCCAACCCCTGGGGGACTGCCCCCAGAGTGACAGAGATGGAAGGAATAATAGGGTCATATAGAAAGTCAGCATACAGGCATCCGATCCTGGTTGCCTTAGGAACCTTTTGTTTACAATATCTGTAAATTTGGAATTTTCCCTTCTGTGCTACACATTCATTTTTGTTAAGAGCATGGGATGTTTGAGTGTTACATTTATTTTGTGTGCATTCATGGAAATCATTAACTTTGATTTGTCAGTCTTGGGTTGCCTGATTATTACCTTCAGGTGAATTCCTGAGGTTAAATAGAGCCTAACTAAATAATAAAGTTTCTCCATTCACAGTTTCTAATGTCTGGTTTTTGAAGAAAGGGTCATTTCTAAAGATGTTATTATTCTTGTAAAGTTTGTTTTGTTTGTGTAAGTTCTTTGCAGCAATGCCACATATAGAGACACAATGAAGAGAAATACTATCTGGGTATAGGTAATTAAAAGTATTGAGCCTGAGGCTCTTGTTTTGCCTGAGATCTTGGATTGGGGTCTGAAGCCTGTAAAGTCTCTTTTACATCTACATAACTGCAACTGTTCTTGGTTCTGATCTGGTTCAATAGCTTGTGATCCAGTGTAAGAAGGATGGATGTTGAGGAACAAAGAGTGAAAGAGTGCGGAAGTATTCACCCAGAATTGAAGGTTGGGCTCCTGGGGAGAAGGAGCATCTTTGGGACTGAAACTCATGTACTGTAGATGCAATAAGAAGCATCAGTTGGGTCTAGGAAGGGTCACCAATCCGAAACGTTAAAGGCTACATGATTCTGCAGCCCTCAGTAGGAGGAGGGGGAAAATATCCTTAGTACTCAGCTGTCTGGCTTCATTGATCAGCTTTTAATCTTTGTTTTCCATTTCCTCTCCATGTTCTCTAGGGTTTAGAGGAAGAGGGGTGGTTGGCCTGAGTCAGGCTGGAAGGCAAGGTAGCATCCTGTCAATGGAAAAGCAGATCATCCACAAGTTTTGTTGTTTCCAGTAAACTACAACATGATCAGGAGCAAATTGGTTCAGTTCTGCAAAGCAGAATACATT